ATGATATGATATTAAATAAGTATAATATAATATTAAATAAATAAATATATAATATTATAAGTAAACCCCTAAATAAAAAGAGTTAATTATATAATGATATATGATATTACAAATTTATAATATCATGTGACATTGTAATTATAGCATTTTCGATATTTTAATCTACTAAAATGGAATAACTCACATTAATTCTTCAATTGGATTTGCAACTTTTTTTTTGTCTAGTTCTTACTCTTTCATTTGTGTTACAATTTGGTCTTTTATATTTTAATTTTTTTATCTACTTTATTCATTCTATATAACTATAGTATTTTAAGTGAAGGTAAGACAAGAAGGCCTTACCCAAGGACAATTCCTAGTTCCGCCATTGTGGTGTCATATGAAAGATGTAAATTTACTATCTTTAGGGGGACAAATTCTCCCATATGTGCGAATCTCACCCAAACAAATTGATTAATGTGTTAACTATATACATGAAAATTTGACCACTTAAGTCTTTTGGGCATATTGATCATGTGGTTGGATTTTAGGTGACTGCCATGGTTAACCTTCCCATTCTTTTGGTTCACACACTCCAAAATTATAATAACCCTTTTCACTTTTATAAAAAAAATATTATATAGTTTGAATTATAGTAAATTGTATAATTTAAATTGTTAAATAAGTTGAACTCCTAATATTAGAGTTGTCCCTCCATTTAATGATTTTTGTTTTATAATTTGGTACAATTAAGCTGTAAAAATGATACTTTTATTTTTATGAGGTGTGGTTGTAGCCACCACTTGTTTTGTTAAAGCCACTAAAATTTGATTGATATTTAAAGTTTTTTTTTCTTAAATAGATAATTATGATATTTAAAAATATCAATTTATAAATTGATTTTAATTTATTTAATAATAAACATCAATTGTTCAATTAACAATTTAAACAAAATTAATATTTTTAAATAAAATTTTGATTGCTTTAACAAAATAATTTATAACCATAACCACATTTTTTTTCTAAGTAAGGACTTTCTTACTTCATATATATGTCAACATCTTACAAATTAAGTAAATAATCATTGTCTTTTTCTTCAAGGAGCAAAAAGGCCAATTGTTTGGTTGAACCTAGTTTCTTTGACAGAGCTCCATGAGATATTACCATGAGGAAAATAAGAGAGATGGTTTGAGCCCTGAGGGCCAAGGAAGAAAGAAAATTTCTTGAGAGGAATCTGTAAGAAACATGCAATAAAGGATTGTTTTTCTAATGACATGTGCAGCATTTTAAAAATGATTAGAATAATTGCAATAGAAATCAATAAGGGAGAGAGAGACGCATAATAATACCTGCAATTTACTGAGGAAAAAAAGAAGGGTCAGCAAAATGAAATCGTGGCCCCAGAAATGGGTATAGGGTTTGTTATGAACTAAAAATTGGCCAGAAACTACCGTTAGAAAAGGCAAATTTTATAACAGCCAAACAGGGCAATTGGCAGGCAGTAAGGGTGTTTGCGATGTGGTTTGGTGTAAATTTTAATATTTTTTGAATTAAGACAATTTAATCGGTTAATAAAATTTTTAAATCAATACAATCCACTATTATATGATAACCAAATCAATTCAACTTAAATCGGATCAGTGTGGTTTAGTTGGATTGATCAATTTTTAATACTATTAAATATCTGAGATAATATAAAAAATTTTAACACTAAATAAAAAATATAACTATAAAATACATTAACATTAAAATTACAAGAAACATAATAAAATGCATAAATTATAAATAAGTTCTTATACTCATTTACAATTGTAAAGATTGAAAAGATTGAAAAGATTTGAAATTTTTTCTTGACTATATCACTAGAGACATTAAGAATAATAAAATATAACTTTAAATTTGAAATAAGTGCAAGTAATTATTAAAGGTTAAAACTAATTTTTTTCTTTAATGCAACAAATGATTCAATCCTATCTTTCAAACCTTGTTAAAAGAAATTAAAATTTAATATAAATGTTATTAGGAATGATTAGAAGCATTCATAATTAAAATTTAAAACTTCTTAACCAAAAGCCCAAAAATAGTATAATATCAACATTAGTTCTATTATATAATTTTAAGACTTTTAGAATAATATTTCTTAAAATTTAGTTAGGAGAATTAGAATATTATTTTAAGAATAAATTAAAAATTTAAAGTTCTCAAAATAGAGTCATAGACTAATTATAAGAGATAGAGTTGCAAGTGAATTGGAAATTTAGAATTAGGGTTATAGTGCACAATTTAGAAAAGAAAATAAATTAGAGAGCATAGGGATATTTTATTTTTATTTTTATTTTTAAATTAAGTTAATGAAGTTATTATCTTATAAAACAAGAAAAAATTTAAAATATTACAAAAAATATATTATATTATTTAATTAAATTATCATGTAATCAGATTTTATTTTGTAATTGAGTTGTTCGGATAGTTTAAAAGTAAAATTACAAATTAAATCAATTATATTGGTTTTAAAATTTTATAATCCAAACCAATCTAATTTTATATTAATTTAGTTTAGTTTTTTATTGGATTGAATCAGTTTAAATCAAATCAATTGGATCGGATAAGACGTGAACACCCTAACGGACAGTGAGTGAAGTTTCAAAACTCCCTACACAAAGACATTTCGGCTGAAAAAGAAAAGATAGTAACTTGTTCTGCCAAATTGAAAATGTCTCTCAAATAATATTGTACATGTGGCCAACGACCTAAATAGTTCATTGGTCATCTTACTTTACTGAAAAGTAAGAAATTTTGAGTTCAAATTATATGGCATGCAGATAGAGTATGATAAGAAATGGAAATAGTTACCTTTTATTGTGCAACCAAGATAAAAAAAAAAAAATTATACATCTGATATGATTGTTCATGTGCTATTAAAATTAATATTAATTTTTTATGTATAAATTTATGATCAAGATACATTTATTATATTATTAAAATATATTCCCCAAAAAAATAAAATCAAATATAAAAATTAGAATAAAATAAAACTCAAATTGAACCAAAAAAAAAAGAATTTTTAAGAATGGGTTGTGAAAAAAAATTGTACCTTAAATATTAAATTATCAAAATACCCTTAATAAAACTCTCTTTTATGTTTATTCATTAGGAATATTTTGATGATATCAATATCAAACTGAATTTTTTATGGATTCCGTTTTGAAAAACACTAATTAAAACCTTGTCACTTAAAACCTGTCTCCTTTTTTTTTTCTTTCCATCGTAGGGAATTGACCAAAAAAAAAATTAACGTTTTTTGCAAAAAAGCAAAAGTGGGCTCTCGGCCCGGCCTCTGTATGTGCCTGTACGACCCAAATGCTTTCGGTCTACAAGTCCAATCAGACTGCGTCTGAGACTCGAAGTAACTTAGCGGGCGAAGGTTCTTCGTTTTGGCTTCAGCAAGAAGAAGCTTTAGAAACCATGGTGGATCCCTATTCTAGATATGCTTCTACTGTGGACAGAGGTTTCCTTTCTAACCCTAATTTCATCTTCTAATTATCGTAAAAGTTTGAGACTTTTTGAGTCTTTAGATTTTGTTTGCAAAAATCTCTCGAGCGTTTTGAAGTTTCTTACTGGTTTTTTTTTTTTTGTTAAATTTTTATTTGGGGTGTATGAAACTCTGCATTCTTGGGTACCCTCTGAGTTCAATTCTGGTGTGCTTTGACATCTTCAAGGTTTGTCTTTTGTGAGTGTTGGTTGATTTTCGTCTATGCTGACTAATGTTGATCAAAACCCGGCATTGATATTGTGGTCAATAAGTGACTGCAGTTCCAAATCTTTTGTTTTTAGGTTGCTGTAATGTCCATTTCATTGAGAGAATTCTGGAGGCAGCGGCTCCGTGTTTCTTCTTTCCTCTCATTCGTTTCTGAGAGTTCATTGACCTGTTTTCATGAACTGGGTGATTCCAATTTTCAGATAATGCGATTTTTAGGATGTAGTTTGTGGAGAAGATTCTGGAGAGTGAAGTTTTTATTGAGATTGCTCATGCCATGGCAGAGGCAGCATAGATTATGAGGGGACTGTCCTGCATGTGAATCTTTTAATATTGCATATCATCCCCTTTTTTTTTTTTTTGTTTGGTTATCATGCTTTCCATGATCTCCTGTAAAATCGATTTTAATGGAGATTTCTGGATCCTGGCCTTCATTGTGACAGGCAGTGTTTCAAGGCCAAGCTTCCCAGGTTACCTGCAATCTGAAGCTCCGTCATTGGCATCTCATTTTGCTGCAAGCTCCAGTGATACGCGAGCTGCTTCTGGTGTTCTAAATGAAGATGTTAGATCTGCACTTATAATTATTTCTCTTATTATATTATTGCTTACTTTGGTTATTAACTTCCATTTACCATTTAGTAATGGGTTTCAGATGCAGATGAATTCATTGCGGCCTGGGGGATATGGATTGGGTAGTATTCCGAGTGGTGGAGTCCAACCTGAACCTGGTCTTGGTGTATTATCTGCTGCAGCTGGTATGAGAGGTTATTCTTCTTCACAAAACACCTTGCAGCATGGGGAATATGGTTTGAGTGGCACTCCAAGTGCTGTAAGCCATCCTGAACCTAGTTTCGTTGGTGAATCTGCTGCAGCTAGTAGAAGGGGTTATTCTCCTTTAGAAGATGATGCTGCAGCCAGTAGAAGGGGTTATTCTCCTTTAGAAGATGCTGCTGCAGCAGGCATCAATCGAGTTATCCCTGACATAACTAATGAAAAGCCTAGCTCTGTCAAAAATTTTAATGGCCCCTCAGCTGCTGATGGACAATCAAATCTTCTGTTTGTTGATGGGCTACCAACAGACTGTACCAGAAGAGAAGTTGGTCGTATCCTTTTCCTATATGTGTGCATCAACAATATTTTTGAGAAAACCAAATGTTTGTGGTTTTTCTTCCTTTGTAATTTCAGCTTAAGGCTTCTTATTCATGATTCACTGCTAGTAAAACAAAAAATTGATGTCTGCCAGAGGAAAGACACTTTTCTCTCATGGTACCATGTAAAAGGAAACTGGTTGCTTTTATTTTGATTCGTAATTTTGGTTTGCTGTCAATTCAATCCTTCACTTGAAGTCAAAGATATTTTCCGTCCATTTTTTGGCTACAAAGATATCAAAGTTGTTCACAAGGAGCCCAGGCGTGTAAGTTTGTTGCTTGATCTATTTTTAGCACTTTTAAGCAATATAGTTGCCTCCAACTCTGCTTTGTCAATCACCATTACCTTTATAGAAAGGGATTTTCTAACCTGTGCCCTTAGGGCACAGGTTAGACAGACCCTTATAGAAATAGGATGTTCCATTACTCCTATTATTTTCCTCCCTGCATAATTTCTGCTCAGATGCTTGTCTTGCTAAACTGAATTGCAGAGTGGAGATAGAGCCACGGTTTTTTGCTTTGTGGAATTTGTTGACTCAAAATGTGCATTGACTGCCATGAATGCTCTTCAAGGTAAAGTCTTCACAACTTTATGCTTATTTTATCTCCATTTTACTTGGGTTTATGTTAATTTTGCAGTTTGCATTATTGCCTCGTTCACTTAACCCGCACACTGTAGTTGCTTTTAACGATTTGAAAATTTTGCTGAGTTCCCAAAAGCATATCAGGGACAGAAGGATTTGATATCCACTATGAATCTTAACTCAGAGGTCCATTCTTCATTTAACAGGCTGTGGAATACTGGCCTTTTGTAGGTTATAAATTTGATGATAAGAAACCTGAGTCCCCTGTCTTGAGGATCCAATTTGCACATTTTCCTCTCCGGTTAGGATCTTATCCAGAGGATCAATAGGTTGAGTTTCCATGCTGACCAAGAAGGTTTTGATGATCATCATCCTGGGGGTATTATTGATGATTAGGTATCTCTATGCATCTTGAGAAACATAGATCCATTACAACTGCCTATGGGAATTATCGTGGCTGGGAATTATAGACGAGCAAAAAATGCTGGTCTTCAAACATGCCTGCTTGTGTTGGCGACTTGCATGTTGATTTGTAGTTATGTGGCACACACCTTTGTTGCAGCGGAAATGAATTTCATGCTAGCTAGTCTTTTCATCATCAAGAACAAATTCTATTGTAAGTAATCTTCAAATTCTTCATCATTGAATACGATTTGATTATAATTCATGGCATATTAGAAACTGTAGTTTCTTTAAACGTATTCTGAGTTACTCTAACTGCAATACTGGGGAGCAAAGGTGGAAGGTCACATGAGAGTGCCGGTATTTTTCTTGCCTGCAGTGGGACACCATGGACTGACCTCTTATTGCACATAAACAAAGACATGGAAGTGTCATTTTCACCATCCATGTCCTGTATTCTGCAGCTATAGAGAAACATTGGCAGACAGTTTATTTATCATGAAAACCACCTAGTAATTTCTTCATTTGCTAGACAGTGTAGATAAAGATGTTTTCATTTTCTAATGTGAACCTCAACCTGCAAACATAAATGGATCGAACCTGCAACCTTGTTGGCTTCAGGTTCGACGAAGCTAGCTGAGTGTGCCATATGAGAAAGAGATCTCCTAGGGTTCAGCTAGTATAAGTAGTGGTATGAAAGACATTGAAGAGAATTCAAAACAACATTAAATTTCTCAGCATAAGTCAATGTTTAATTTCATTTTGTGTTATTAGTACATAATTTAAGCTATTGAAACCTAGGATAATACATCTTGATCTTCCTGTGAGCTATTAGCTGTGGGAACCAATCTATCTTTTGTACAATCCTTTAAGACAAAGAATTTCAACCTGAAAAAAATCAAAAAGAAAAACAATGCAAGTGTTTTTGCATTACAGAAAAGAAGTTCCAGCAAGACCATGGTGCAGTAGATTATGAGCAATGGCATCCCTAGCTTTCATGGAGCTCCCCGATCTCACGGGAACTTCCGGCGCCATTTCATCATCCAGAAGCTCAATCTTCAGCTCCGGATCCGGTTCCTCATTCCTCATTTCACATATATTATGCAAAACACAACATGCCCCAAGAACCACCGGCAAGTCCTGCAACTTCACCTCTGTTCTCTTCTGGAGGCAGCTCCACCGCCCTTTCAGCCGTGCAAAGGCGCCCTTCGCCACCCTCTGGATTTCCCCAATTTTTTCGTTGAAAGCATGCTGTGTCCACGTCAAATTTTGCTGTGTGTAAGGAACCAGAACCCAGTCCAATAATGGGTACCCTGAATTTCCCACGATCCAATCACCCTTCAAAAGACCGCCACTAGCCCTCTGGTACAGAGCGGACTTCTCCAACACCTGATCGTCGTTCATGGAACCCGGCCACCCTATACAAACGTCAGTGAAAGCTCCTCTGGGATCAACAACACCCTGTACTGTAATCGAGTAAGATGATTTCTGATTCCTCTCTGTGTGTCTCTTGTTGAAATAAGCTGATACACTGATCTTTGGTGCGATGATGGGTATGTGTGTAGTGTACATTGACCCAACAACATTTGGGATTCCGGAAACTGATTCAAATTTATCCTTTATCTTCATCAGAGCATCATCGTCCGGCCACTGTAAGTACTTGGGCATCAACACCGTCCTTATCGCCGTGCAGACTTCAAGCACCAATTTATGGCAGGTTGAAATCCCCAATCCGAAACGTTTCGAAACGAGCCTCAATGGTTCGCCGGTGGCTAACCGCCATATGCAGACGGCGACCCTCTGTTTCACCGGAATCGCATTTCGTAATGTTGTGTCTTCTTTTGCGATTACAGAGTTCAATTCCTCGCATATCATGTCGAATGTTGATTTCCCCATTCGGAAGGCTTTTTTGAATTCTTCTTCCGGGTAATCCGGGCTGCTGCACTCCTCCCACCAAGCTTTTGACCGGTCCTTCACCCACAACCGCCGATGCTGATGACCCGACCCAACTCCGGTGCTCCCCTTATTGGGTTTCCCCTCCTGGGCTTCTTCCACAGTTGCCACCGCGACGGAAGCCGCCATCGCTCGTGACCGCTTCCGCTTCAGCCGGTCGGCCTCATCAATTTCCGTGTAGTAATCCCGAAAATTGGAGTAGAATTCCACCATACTTTTGGTCTTCTTCTTCGAATTCAAGTCCAAATCCAATTTCTCCTCTGCCGCCGCTTCCTCCCGCTCATCCCTGTCCCGCTTCTCCTGCTCTTCAATCAAAATCAACGAAGTAATTATACCTTTCAAGTCTTTGGTCTTGGCTTCTCCTCGATCCTGACCATTGATATTATCATCATCGTCATCACTCCCTTCTCTCTTCCGCCGCCTTTCACCGTCAATTCCGGTAGCGTTACTCATTTTAGCAAGTGGGGTTGGAAGAAAATTACAGATACAAAAGAAAAGAAGCGTTCTTGGTTATGCAGAAGAGGGAGATTCATATAGGGAACCAAAAAGAGATGAGAACTTTGACATAGAGTTCAACAAAAAGAAAGGATGGAATTTGCCTCTTTGGGTTTGAAGCGTATAAAGAATGTGTGAAACAAGTGTGAGCACAAGAATTCAAATTGATAGCTAGCAGATAAACTAGGGAAGCTGAAATGGAAGATTTGCTTGCCAATATTTATCTAGTTATATTGGTAGAATATTTATTATGGAATGTCGGTATCCACGATTTTCTTGCTCTCTTCTTTTTTTTTTTTCCAATGGAATTGCGAAAAGTCAATCATTCTTAGTAAGTAAATCGGTGAAAATAATAAAAAATAATAATACATTTTTATTTAAAATATTTAAATAATTTTATGAGAAATTTTAATATTATAAATAATATAATATTTTAATTTTAATTTTATTTGTTTAATTTAGTTTTTTTAATTTTATATTTTATTCTTAAATTATATATTATTTGATTTGAAATAACGTTTTTTTAATATGATTTGAAATAATTAATTTTTTATTAGTATTTAAAATATAAATACCATAAATTTTTTATATAGTAAAATATTTATTTTATGACATGAAAGCATGATCAAATATTATAAACTATGACAAAGTCGCGAGGGGCAAACCAACTTGTATTTTGGTACGAGGAATGAAGAAAGAAGAATTTGGAAAGAAAGAAAGAAAGAAAAAATAAATAAAGAAATAAAGAAGGAAAACCCATCCGACCAAAAAAAAAAAAAAAAGGGAAAAAACAAAATGGAGGTCGATAAGTGTGAACGCGGTGACTTTGATAGGAGAGAAGACGGCGGGTTCGGCGTTTGGAGTCTTTGGACGGTGCCCTTGAGGCTGGTGCTGGAATCACGCGGATTCTCCTCGATTGCCAAATAATAATAATAATAATAATAATAA